CCGAACCTAGATGATTAATTATTAATATATCAATATTATTCATCCAAACCTAATTACGAAGCATGATTTTTCGCCAAATAGGATTCCGAAGCATCAGAAGCAGCCACGTAGGCTCAGCGCATTCGGGAATTATATATAAGGAGGATCTGCAGTTATTTATTTTTATTAAAAAATAAAAGTTTCCAATCAAAATAATTGTAATAGCCATTTTTCTGTTTAAAAAAAAAGTTTTCGATTTAAATGAAGATACACGTATAATTAAAAAAATATAAGTTGCCAATCAAAACAATCGCATTAAGCCATTTTTATGTTTAAAAAAGTAATCGATTTATTGAAGATACATAAGTATATATTATTGTTTAATCAGCCAAAATTTCTTTTTATTACAAAATATAAACTGCTAAATAACTAAAGTATATTAGCCTATTTATGTATTTAATTTTCTTTTAGTTTCATATTTTGTGAAAATAAAAAAGGGACGGGCCGATTATGTGAAATCTGTAACAACCTCCACATGTGAAAGACTTCAATTAATGTTGTGCGTGTTAAAAGAAAAAAAAAATACTATTAATGGCAAGTCATTAATGCTAAACAACTTTGACCAATAGTTTGACCTGCCATTTTTTAAAAATGGTTATTTTTATTATATATAGATATAGATTTGCCAAGCTATTTTAGTTTCCAGTCCTGTCTTTATATAATATATAAAGTCATGAAAAAGAGTTATATGGAAGAAAAAAAAATAAATTTAAGTCGTTGGATGTGATATATAAATGCTCTAGGAACGGTTAAAAGGGTTCAACTTTAGTCAAACATGTGGTGGTATTCTTGTAAATATGGGGAAATTATATTTTTCATGCAAGGATATTAGTCATTGCACAGAATGTACTATAACGTTAATTTGCAATCTGCCAGGTAATTTGTAATCTGTCAGACAATATTGTGCAGTTTGCTTAGCAATGTTATGCGTTCTACAGTGCGAGTATTTTTATGTGCAATTTCAAACTTGATATTGTGCAATGAACTGAATATTATGGTGCAATTAATATTTTTTATAAATAATAAACTTGACCCATGAAATAAATTGTAGTATACTAAAATTTATGAAATTACAATTAAGTCCTTAGAAATTATCAACTTTTTTTTTAAAAAAAAAAGACCCCACAACTCCAAATTGGATTTTCTAAGCACAATTGCAACCGGAAATCGGGGTTTAAACGCGGTGTCAATGGACGACGCACTAGCGGCTGAAGGGAGTGTTGTACCGAATATGGAAGCCTGAACAACCGAAAATTTGAACGTACGTGTGAGGTTGAGGGCTGAAGCCGGGTAGATATGCGGCAAATGGAAAATTCGCTATGGAATTCGGCGACTGAATAATCTTGCACCGTGGATGGAATTGGGCGAAGGAGCGGCGATGCCTGAGCTGCTGTGGAGGTTGGCCCGACAGGAGTCTACCAGACAAGGAAGCCGATAAAATTAGGTCATAGAGAGAGGGA